ACTGATTCGTTTTTGGTACTAGTTTATATAGTCCTCTTTTGGTATCAGCCGTCTCATTGCAATCACCTTAATCTCGTCCACATTATGAAATATTCCTATCAATATAACTTTAGGAAAACTGAAAACTTGCAGAGAACGGAATCGGGTTGGTAGTGGTTGGGAGGATGATGTCATACCTGGGTGAAGCGATGTTTTGACAAACGACGATTTACTAATGAAGTGTACCTATTTGGAGTGGACATTCATTGCTTTCTCTATTTGTCTCTTTTTATATGTTCAATTTTCCCCTCTTTTTATCTTTCTCTCTGTCTCTCTCTTTTTTGTCTACTACACCGATAACACCCAGTTATTGATAATGAAAGAAACGATCGAAAATACAAGAACTAAACGAGAACAAAACATGAACCCCCACATGTTTGATTACGATGTACATCAAATATCCTATTCGGGAATAAGAAAGATGCAAAAAAAAAAAAAAAATGGCTGTCGGTTGAATTTAAACTCATTTATGTATTAGGCAAATGAATCACAAAGAGGTAAAATTCTTGTAACGCGTTTTGCCGCCTTGAAAGACTTCATCAGACGAAAGTAAAATTTTTGTTGGTGGAGTGTAACAGTAAAATTGTCCAATCGTTAGATTAAGCTTCGAACCGTTGTATCTTAGAAATGATTAAAGATATCTTACTGGAATTCTCCGAGGCTTTTATAACACAATTGGACTCTGAAAAATAAGAATGTATTTAGCTCTAAGTTGAAATGATGATCCCTATTCCTGTTGTCACCTCCTGATTCAGTTTTCCTCTCTACTGTTCCCTCTTTTTAAAACTTGTTCACCGTTCCTTTTATGATTCTTGAATGGACTTTGAAGTTGGAAGCCAGAGTATGAATGTTGGTATCATTACTTAATTATCTTTTTCATCTCACCATTGCTCAGTTGGGAAGACATAGTGGGGCTGACACAAAATGATTTTAGTCTGTTCTCTTTCTCGCTGAATAACTCAAAGGGTTTTCAGTGATTTTTACAACAAACGGCGTCAAGATAGCTAAATATCTTTTCTGAAAACCTGGAAAAAAGAAACTCAATTAGTTTAGTGGTTTATTAGATATTAAACATCTTGTTTGCTGGATAATTAGCACAAGCTGTCACACGATTTAGACAATTTTGCTGTTACTCCCGGTATATATATATATATAAATATATATATATATATATATATATATATATATATATATATAAGTGATGAATTTTTATTTATTAATCCAGATTTTATTACCTAAACATTATTTTTTTTATTGGATATCCATATTTGAGTAGATACTCCATTTACTTATTAAACAGTATATTTATTTATTTTCGTCTACTGAGCTGAATATTTGAGAGATCTTATTAAAGAAAAATATGTGCTCTCCAGTAGGATTTGAAAGTACTTCGGATCTAACGACGGTTTCTCCTGCCAAGGAGGACGCAGGTCCGAATCCTGTTGAAGAACTCATATTTTTATATGAAATATGGATATCCACTAAAAACTACTTTTAAGTAATAATTTTTGTTTGTTTGTTTTGTTTTATTTAATGCCGACAAAATTTTTATTGCGTCAAAAATCTATTTCTGGGAATATTTTTCCTTGAAGAAATCTATAGCTGGTCATATTTTTTTCAAAGAATGTATAGCTTTTTGTATTGCTGGTATTTTTTTTAAGCATTGCTGATGATAATTTTTCCTTCAAAAATGTATTGCTGGCAATAATTTCTTTTTTTTATTAAAAAGTATTTCTGGTATTAAAACCTATTTTTACACAAGTTTGAGTGTTAACTATTTGCCCATAGCTGGGACCCTAACAGGTGCTACCACCCCGGGTCACGGAGGACTTGGCAACACCAGCAATTAAAAGGTGGTTCCACGCTCCTTAACACCTCCTGATCAGAGGCCTTGCTGTTGGATGTAGTTTATCGTCATACCCAGGACGATTAAGTAATAATAATAATAATAATAATAATAACACACACGCAGACACACAAGCAGACACACACACACACACGCACACACACACACATACATATATATATATATATATATAGGAAAAATAAACATTACCTTACTCTGATGAAGTCTTTCTAGAGGACTAAACGCGTTACACAGATTTTTTATGTTTATCATTTATTTACCTGACTTTGTTTAGATATATAGAAATGCATATATCACATTCTCCCTTTATAACGCTACCTGAAAAAACAAACAAACAAAAAAAAAACAAACAAAAAAACAAATAAACATAAGGTCTTAATTTGTTTTGTTTTTTTTTACAGTTATGTTCACCCTGTAAAAGGCCCGGGGGAAATCGATGTAGAGGTTTATAGAGTAAGGAGCACATTTTATGCGGATAGGTGCGGAAAAAAACGGCTAACCCTACACTTGAACAGGTTAAGATTTTAGTGATCGGGGAAACATCCTCTTGGGAAGAATGCGGTGGTGAGATGAGGTGAGGGTGGTTTGTTACAATATGAGGAACATGGTGGGTCTTAGCCGTAACCTAACGAACAAAAAACAAACAACACAAAAAATAAATACCAGAACATTCTCTTCCATATTTAATTTCTGATAAAGCTTAAATAAAAGCGAAACATATTAAATCTATTAACGTGTCCTATTTGTTTATTATTCCATAATACTGTCGGATTCTAATCCAGTTTGGGTCTAGTTTTATATTGTTTTCATATCTTCTTTCTATCTTAAACGTGTTTATTTATTTAACACTTATCTCTTTTTGTTTATCTCTTACACAATGCTAAGTGGGGATTCAATACAGTGTGCAAAGATTGTCTTTGCTTTGAAAATCAGTATTTAAAGTATTGGGATCGAACTATGATGCACACAATATTGGCCCTATGGGACAAAACGCAGGGAGAAGTGGATTCGGACTTTAGCACGAGGTGAATACAAGCAACCACAATAAAAGTTTAAATTTCTTTTACAGATACTATTTTTCTGATCTGATGAGCATTAAAATACAATGCATTTGTAAATGGAGAAAGAGAGAGCACAGGGAGAAGTAAATTCATGCCTTTCCAAGGATTTTATAGGTAAGTGAATACAAGAAAATTTCAGCCAAAATTCGAGCTTGGTTTGCTGATTTTATTTTCTGTTTTGATAAGCATTAAACTACGTTGTAACTGTAAATATTGTAAGGAGAGAGCACAGGGAAAAGAGGGTTGTTGCCTTTGTCAAAGACTTTAGAACCAATTGAATACAAGAAAATTTTAGCCAAAACTTGGTTTGACGATTTACTTTCTGATTTGGTAAATCATTAAACTCCGTTGCATTTGTAAATATTGAAAATAGGGAAAACAGGGAGAAAAGGGTTCATGCATTTCCCAAGCGTTTTTAAAACTAAACGAATACGAAGAAACCTCAGCCAGAATTCGAACTTCTTTTTGTTAACTTTATTTTATAGAAAAGTAAAGAAAAACTTACCAACTAATAAACATGAAAAAACGTCCATTTCACCGCCACATATATACTACTACTGTACTGATGCGGCATTCACCCTGGGCGGATTGAGCCGGCTTCTTCCTGTTATGAGAAGAAGATTCTTGGGATAAATTACAGAAGTAGGGTACCCAGGCCTACTCGGATAACGTTCTTGCTTGCCGCGGGGTTCCCACAGACGCAGAGGCAGGAACGACCAGAAGCCGCCGGTTGCCGATGCAGACGCTCCTTGGATTTTCACCAGAGCCCTTGTTAGCCGGCGTGTGTGTCAGACCTGTCCGTCTTGGGTGGCCCTACCAGGAACGAAGTTCCGGGCGGCATAACTCTGACACTACCGTTTATATATATATATATATATATATATATATATATATATATATATATATATATATATATATATATATAAATATCAACAAAAATAATGAAGAAACTGAAATAGCGATAAGTTTCTGGCTGAATCTATACACAATTCTCTGTTGGCATTTTGCAGACTGAGAATGTCGTTCAAGTTATACATTTATATCGACTTTTGAAATGATCTTGGTTAGAATACCACATATAATGTGGTCAGCTGTTGCCATAAAACATCTGTCTACAATGGCCCTGAATTATGACCTTGTTTGATTTTTTTCAATTGATGTTCTTCATGTTCTCTTTCACACCTGAAGGACATTGTAAGATTTTAGAAGTAGATTACAAAAGCATACTTACATGCTAGAATAGAAGTAACATTGGTATAACAAAATTCATTGAACATATATCTTGTCACAAGAGTCAATGGAAAAGCTAGTCTTGCAGACCATTTCAAAAGTGTAATAAATTTGAACCTTACCCGACGCCTCGCAAAAAGCCTACCGTGTAATTATTGGTACGCTCGTCGCAGTTGCAAATTCAGGAGTGTAATGAGGTCAACGACCACATATGTAACTACGAATTGCAGATATCAAAATACAGAAGTTTAAATATTTGGGCTTTTTTTTGAACGGAGAATGGAAATGTAACACTGGAATAGCAAAAGATGCCTTCTAAAAGCTAAGCATAGTACTAAAAAAAAGAATAATTTCCTTAGAGACAAAGAAATATACTGAACTGCTATATACTAGCAATCCTCTTATTCAGCAGTGAATGTTCGACAATTTCCTCAGAGATGAAAAGGCAACAAAAATCTGGTCCTACAGAAGGATGATGAGAATACCATAAACGGAGCCTTTAAGCAACGGGGACGTTTTAAGGAAAATGGAAACAAAAAGGACATTTATACTCAGGATCAGAAAGAGGGCTTGGATAATTGAACCCTCACAGGGCATATCGAGGGCAAAAGATAGAGGGAAAGGTAGAAAGCCAGCCTGTGTAAAAGGATGGCGAAACGGGTTAGTAGAGATGTAAAAAGACAAATATTACTGACAGCTTAAAGGGATAAGAGGTTGTGGAGATCCATGACCCTCACTATCTGAAGAGACACGGCACATAGAAAAGAAGAAGACTTACTAGATGCCTTCACTAATGTAGTACTTTACGGCCATATCACGTTGAAACACCGATTCCCATACGATCACCAGTTAAGCAACGTAGATTCTGGGCATTACCTAGATGGGTGACCGCTTGGGAATAAGAAGAAAATTGAAATGTTTACGGCACATAAGTAGGAAAGCAGGCTTAGAGAATTTAATACTCATGTGATATATGAAAGGCAATGGAAGCCAGGATAACAAATAGACACCTTCTTGACAAATTTGAGCCAATGGATGTTAAAGACAGATGCAAAGGGATCAAATTTAGGAAGAACATCTGCTGCGTTTGGCTACTTCAGGTTAGAATGTAAGCCAAAACTATGTATGGAAATGTTTTGGGATCTCTGATGATGAGAAATTGCCATGAAACAAATTACCTTATAAGACATACGATGACCAGAAACAAGAATGTATCTCTGTTTTATACAGAGGGCAGCAGAAATACCATCGGCATTTTAAATGTTCATAAAAAGACCAAGTTAACTGCTATTAAAAAATCATTGTTGTTTAAACAAAGGGTTACAGTTTTTATTCATTTGGTTGGACGTTCGAACGCTACGAGGGTTTTTAAGGCAGCTTTCTTTTAATTGCTGAACCTGTGGCTCTGAAATTTTTAATCCATAGCAGTGTCGATTTTCTATTCAGAACACTCTCATCCCGGCGTAACATGAAACGAGCGCAAAAAGCTCTCTGTGTTGAACATACAGATTCGCTATTCTTAAAAAAAAAATAAACGTTTTAATAGCAAATGCACGTCGTGTACACCAATTGAAACCACAATTGTAATCGATGATAAGATATTAGTTAGATGACGATACCATTGCCACTTACTTACTTTCACAAGAATCACACAGGTAACAGTTTAAAATGTGGGAGGTATTTCTGTCGCATTATGTATAGAGGCGTTGGAGTCTGTCGAAATTTTCGAAACTAGCTTTGTGATCATTGGGCCTATAAGAATGCATAAGTACATCTGAAAATTGTTACCTGGATTTTAATTTGAAAACTTCACTGTATGATGTTCACTAATTATGGTTAATGAAGAAGTCTTAGTATGTATGTCAGCATATCATTCTACCGGTATCCTAATGCAAAACGAAATTATTTTGTGCACAGAATAATTTTTTTTCAATATAAGTTCCTTCATTGTCAATGCACTTAATTCTGTCGTGAATATTAAAGCAATTGCAAACAATCTATCATTCTTCGTGTCAACGGGTGAGTTTAATTTGCCCCCAACCGCCTTAAACCAGTATGACCCTAACATCAAATATATATCGTGACGTACCTGTTGGATTATCGTCTATCAAAGGTCTAACCGCATTGTCTCATGCGCCTGCGGGCAGTGCACTATCAATGCTGAGTAGACATTAAATAAAACAAAACTTGGGCTTGAAACAACCAAAAAAAAAAAAAAGCTCCAAAAAACTTGAAGATCTACACATCCAACATAGAAAGAAGAGCCGAATCCGCTAATACTGACAGTGAATAACGCCATCTGGTGAGCGAGGTTCATAGAAAGGGAGATAATCTTTTACAGTTGAAGAAAACTAATATATTAATAAAGAAAGAAGAAGAACATGTTCAGTAGCTTCGTATATATGCCCTGGTCCTTCAGGAGGTCAACGATTATGACTCTCCATAACTTCCTATATTGTGCAGCTCTTAGTAATATTTGCCTTTTTAACATACATCCCTCTCTCATAAGCTCTTTAGGTAGGTGGCCTACTGCTTCCCTCTATCCTTTTTACCTATGATATATCCTAAGTGTGCTTAATTTTCCAAGCCCTTCTTCCTCATTATGTGTCCAAGAAATTTCAGCTGTCTCCTTCTGCTCAAAAGTGTTCTTTTTGTTCCGATTTTCCTTAAGACTTTATCTTTGCAGACGCGCTCTGTCCATGGTATTCTCAGCATCTTTCTGCAGAATCGCATTTCTCTTGCTCCCATTCGTCTTTTCACCTATCATGAGATTGTCCAGCATTCATTGCCATATAGATATCCTGATATTACATAGCAGTTCAGCACTTTTCTTTATTTCCAACGAAATTTTCCTATCTCTTAATACATTGCTTAGTTTCTGAAAATCATGATTAGATTGTCCAGTGTTCATTGCCATATAGGAGTTTAGATATTACATAGAAATTCAGCACTTTTTCTTTGCTTCTAACAAGATTTCCTTATCACTTAATACTTTGCTTAATTTCTGAAAGGCATGATGTGATTGTCCAGTATTCATTATCATATTAGAGATTAGATATTACATCGTAGCTCAGCACTCTTTTCTTTGTTTCTAAATGTTTTTCCTGTTTCTTATTACTTTGCTTCGTTTTTGGAAGGCATTTTTTGCTATTCTAATGCCTATTCGCACTTCTGCTTCACATTTTCCATTCTATATAAAACACTTCCCAGATATTTACAGGTTTGTACTTGCTTGATTTTGACATGCCCAATTCGCAGTTGCTATCTTGGACTCTTTCTTTCCCTGACAGCCATGCGTTCGGACGTCTTATAATTGATAGTGCATTTAATGGTAGTTTAGTTAATAACACTCCGGGAAATGTTGCACGTTTCAATAGTATATCAGGCAATAACTGGAATAGTAGCTCGGTTATTCAAAGGATACTGTTTGGAGTTACTATAAGTATATTGGAATAAATACATTGAGTCAATTGCCTCGTTCACCATAAGGAAAGTTGGCTCCCTGAGCCGCGCCAGGAAGTTTGTCTCCCCGGAGTCGATCCCCCAGATCTACAAATCAACAATTCTCCCTTGCATAGAGTATTGCTGCCATATATGGTCTGGTGCCCCTTCTGTTTGCCTCGGGGTTCTTGATAGGCTCCAGAGGCGGATATGCAATATAGTTGGCCCTGCCCTGGCGTCTCGTCTACAGTCACTTTCTCACAGACGCGCCGTCGCCTCCCTCTGTTTGTTCTACAAATACTTTCATGGAAATTGCTCCGAGGAGCTGCATTCGCTGGTTCCCAGACGTCATGAGTTCCAGCGCCTTACGAGGCTGGCATCCCGCTCTCACCCCTTCACTATCGAAACTCCTAAATGTAGCCGTCTCTTCTACTCTAATAGCTTCATGTCTCGCACCTCTCGCCTGTGGAACTCCCTTCCCTATTCCTGTTTCCCTGTGAGCCATAATCTCCAGCTATTCAAGTGTAATGTCAATCGACATCTCCAGTTGCCTTGAACTATCCACTACCCTCATACTTTCTTCTATCTCTCCTATCTGATCTTGCTCTAAACTTTCTGTAATCCCCCTGCGTCCTAGTGGCTTCCCGCCTTGCTTGGGGTGAAATGCTTAAAAAAAATAAAAAAAATACCCTAACTCTCTCTGAGGATATTAACGAAGCTTACGATGATATCAGGCATGTTCTGAACAGACCGAGTTGAGCTCTTTTGACTGGCGATTTTGATTCAAAGCGTGTGAAAATGAAAGATGGAAAATCTATTGTAGAAGAATTTTGAATAAGTTAGAAGATTGAGAGAATGAAAGATACAAAATAACTATTCAAAATACGACTGTTTATATTTCTGAGATGAGGTGTTGAAAATATTTACACTATTTACATTATTCTGACTGCTGCCGTCACCTTTATTGTCATATTCACGATGTTTCGGCCCTTTGTACCCATCCAGCCTTCTTTAATTGATCTACCTTGAAATTTCAAACTGAACCCTTTATTTAGTGCACGGGGGTAGATTGTTCTAGTTCCACGTGCCATACCTTTTCTAGATATCTCAGTTTTCAGTTAATTTCCTTTAGTAACTCAACTCTCAAAGTTTTTCTTCCCTCTGCTGTCGTCAGGTATTGAACTCACAACTCTTTGGGTCACGTTACTTTTTGGATCATTTCAATTAAAGATTTTATCCACAGGGCTATGTGTCCTTGAGAGTTCAATTAATAAAGGGGATTAACTGAAATTGAGATATCTAGAAAAGGTATGGAAAGTGGAACTAGGACAATCTACTCCCGTGGACTAAATAAAGGGTTCGGTTCGAAATTCCAACGTATAACACCTGAAGAAGATCGGAACGTACAACGGCCCTAACATCGTGATTTTGATAATAAAGATGAGGACAACAGTCCTATTAATGTAAATAATGTAAATTCTAAATACAATTTTTGAAAAGTAAAAAAAGCTGTAAATGAACCTAGCCAAACCCAAATGGAGAAACAAAAAACGAAATGTGCTTCGTAATTGTTGACACAGCTTGTAGCAATAAAAATGAAACCTTAAGAATAATAATAAAAAATCATGAAATGGTGGTTTACGAAAACAAATTTGACATTAACCCGTTAATGACCAGCGTAAAATCCGTTATTGACTATAGGTTACGAAAAATACACAGGATTTTAATTATAGGTTTATAAAAAATCCGGTATAAATTCATAGGATCATATCTATAGCAATTCAAGAAGACATTGGTTGTTTATAAATACTAAATATATTAAGTTTAATAATCACTGAATTTAAAATGTCTTTTTGTATATTTATCCCATTAATGTTCGCAGTAAAATACGAAAATAATTTAAAAATGCTTGGTTTTTTGTGTCGCTCCAGAAAATACTTGGCTCCTCTTGTCATGCTCTATCTTTATAAAAGTCAGATCATATTAAAAAATTAATATTACTGTCCTATCCAATTGGAAAGTGGCGATTGTGCAGCTCCAGCCTATTTCAAACTGTAAGCAATAGTAGTCATATAAAAGTGATATGATTCGGTCATGAACGACCTCACAGGTATCAGACTATTGCAACTGTATACGGCACAGGTAGTGTCCAATTATTTTTACTGGCTTAGGTTAATGAGACTCCACATAGTTGTGAGTAAGCTGTGAATGACCATAGACAATCCCGCGGGGTAACATCTGTTTTTCGGAAGTTACTGTGGGGACTTTCCACTGTGAAGAATTTGGTCCATGGAGGGTAGCCATTATATATATATATATATATATATATATATATATATATATATATATATATATATATATATATATATATATATACCGGGTGTAACAGCAAAAACCGTCCAAATCGCGGCAAGATCTATTTTTGAGTAGATTCTCCTTTTACTTTAAAATGTATTTAT